TATACCTGGTCGCGACCATTTATTCTAAGCCTTCTTCAATGACAACGATGACTGAACAACTAATCCTTCTAATATTTTATGAATATATGCTCAGAATTAAGAATTTAATCTTAGGTCTCCATGCTGCTAATTGATTAATAATTGTTGAGCTCACTTTCATTTCGAGTGAAAGTCTTTGGTGAAGCGATTGAAAGGAGATCCTATCAGAAGACGACTAGGGATTCCCTTTAACCAGCTGTCGATTGGCTTTACTGGAACATTCTTTTTGACGCTGTTCGTTCGATTCCGGTGAAAACATGATAAGCTTTCTTCCGCCGTATGACGGACATCATCCTTAAAATCATATTCAGGAAAACTCGCCGGCACATCCCTAACAGTCTCTATATATACTCTATATCTGACGTCTTTGATGAGGCATAAAGTGATTTGGTTAGGTCCAGGCATATGTCAACCTCGGGGCATGCGAGTGTGTCTGTGTCTGTATGAATATGTGCATGCATGTGTCCGCACATGTACGAAACCAACAGTAATGGGTCTGTTCTAGGCCATCAATGTTTGATGACCACCATCACCCCCTCTGTATATATTTAAATAATCACTCTAATTGTACCAGGTCGGACACATGTCTAGCTATGTTGATGTGTTTTTTTATCTTCATGTGAGTGAGCTACAAGAACAGAGAAGTGAGAGTATTTAGAACCAAGATAAGAAAATACTACTTTTAGTATATAAGTAGAGTTACGAGACTTCCAGAAAATCAGTTATATGAGATGTATTCACTCTCGTTCCATTGAATTTCACATAGCCTTGCCTTCCCAAAAGGTGTTATTATCCAGGATGAACTGTACTTTCGGCCTCGCATAGATCCTATCGACACCACTTGCTGAAATCGAACCGTGACAGAGCAGCATGGGAGCATGACACGTTAATCATTCAGCCACTTTGCCATGAGTGTTCTTGGGTCCCAGGCGGTGTGTAAATTTCAAGGAAGGCCAGGCCTTATCACATGACATTATTTGGTAGGATTTTCGATGAAGCAAACGTATTTTTGCTATACCAATCTACTACAGTACAGTACTGCAGACATACCGTAATCGTGTCGAATTTCTGCCTTGTGCTCAGCCACATTTTGTCGAATGGGACGACATGTCTTTTCGACATAAAGTCGACCACATGAACATATTATTTTATAGTAACCCGATTCGGATAATGGGTCAATTTTCTTTCTAAAATCGAGCCTAACTGAAAAATATGTCGTAGTTTCCCTTAAAACCGTTTTTATTTCCCACTTGCTTAATTATTCGTCTATCTATAATACACAAAGAAAAAGCCAAACTACGAGAAAAAATCTCGTGTTTTTGGGCTCTCCTTTAGTATTTACCATTCAGAAACGTATTCTTTATTAATGTTATGTTATTTTAAACCAAATTTAGCTATTATTATTCTCGTTAAATATTAGTTTTGGCAGATATAATAGTTTCCATCTTCTATTCTTATCCTCCAGATAATTATAGATTTTAAAACACCAATCTGTGTTTTATAACTATATGTTGACTTTCTATATACAGCCCTGCTTAAGGGAATTGCTTTAAGTTGTGGTAAGCAAACTGGGAAATTGAGAAGTTGAAAATTAGTTCACTTCTTCAAAGGGACGCCTGGGACGTTTAGCTTACAGCCTCCTAAAGCTACGCAAGAAAGGAATCTTTTTAAGATTGATTTTTAATAATATAGCAACTGTGATGATTATGTGGTCGCTTTTATGTTGTTGCCAAAATAAAATAAAAGATCTCTTGCTTTTTGACTCTCCTTGTGTATTTAACATTCATAAAGGTATTCTTTATTAATCTGTTATTTTCAACCAAAATTAGGTATTATTATCTTTGATAAATATTAGTTTTAGCATATCCAATAGTTTCCATCTTCTATTCTTATCCTCCGGATAATCATAGATTTTAAAACTATAATTAGAGTAGAAATTAAGATGAAGTCAGAATATGATGACTTTCTATAAACAGCCCTGCTTAAAGTTTTGGTAAGTAAACTGTGAAATTGAGAAGTTGAAAATTAATTCACTTCTTTAAAGGGACGCTTGGAACGTTTAGCTTACAGCCCCCTAAAGCTACGCAAGAAAGGAGTCCCTTTAAGATTGATTCTTAATAATATAGCAACTGTGATGTTCATGTGGTCGCTTTTATGTTGTTGACACTTGTTGTCCCATTCGACAAAGTACGGCTGAGCACAAGGCAGAAACTGGACACAAAATTAATTGATCTCAAACTTCTCGTTTTCACGATTATGCCGAGACTGCAGTCCGTCCTGGATGAGAACAACTTTTGGGAAAAGCAAGACTGTGAAATTCAATGGAGACGTCAACTTTACTCATGTCATTGCGGGAAAATTCTACTACAACTCCCTCATCACCTTACATCAAATAGAGTGAATACATATCATATAACTGATTTTCTGGAAGTCTCGTAACTCTACTCATATACTAAAAGTAATATTTTCTTATCTTGGTTCTAATCACTTTCACTTCTCTGTTCTTTTAGCTCACTCTTTCTCTCTCACATGAAGACAAAAAAGATCATCAACATAGCTGAATATTTGTCCGACCTTTTGCAATTAGAGTGATGATTTAAGTATGTACAGAGAGGATTGATGATGGTCATCAAACATTGATGGTCTAGAAAAGACATTACATTGACCCATTACTGTTGGTTTCGTACATATGCGGACACATACATGCACATTTTCATACAGATCGGCTTATGTCAAATAAATGTTAAACTTCAGCAATTAATTTTTCGAATTAAGTATTGTTTTCGTGACTATCAGTAAATCAGTAGTATGATGATGATGAGTGGTATAAGAAGAATTT